CTTTGCCTTTGCTCCAAAATAAGTTTTTGGCAAATTTCAGATGATTGTACCTATGTGGGCTTGTCTGTGTGTCTTCTATTCTATTGGTCTATGTGTCTGTTTTTATGCCAGTACCAAACTGTATTTTGTCACTATGGTTCTGCAGTATAATTTGAGCTTGGATATTATAAGGACTCTAACTTTACTCTTTTTGTCCAGTATTTATTTGGCTAGTCTAGGTATTTTGTTCTTCCACAGGAATTTTCCATTTTTTCCCTAGATCTGAGAAGAATATAATTGGTATTTTGATAAAGCTAGTATTGAATCTAGTGATCATTCTTGGTAGTATGGCCATTTTTAACAATATTAATTCTGGTGTCTTCTTTTACTTCTTTTTTCAGTGTTCTTTACTTTTTCTTGTACCGGTCTTTTACCTCTTTAGTTTAACTTATTTTTAAGTATTTTGTCTTTGGAAGCTATTGTGAATGGAATTATCTTGATACCTTTCTCAGAAAATTTATTATTGGTATATAGAAAAGCTCTTAGTTTTTGTATGTTAATTTTTAAAATTCTGCTGCTTTGATGAATTTATCAGCTCTGGAAGTCTTCTTCTGGAGCTTTTAGGGTCTTCTGTGTATAGGATTATATCATCCACAAACAAGACAATTTGATTTCTTTCTTTCCTACTTGTATCATTTCTATTTCCTTTTCTTCCCTAATTGTTCTGGCTAACATTTAAAGTACTAGATTGAGGAGGAGTGGTGAGAGTAGACATCCTTGTTTTGTTTCTAATTTTAGAAGAATAGCTTTTCCCCATTCAGTTTTTCCCTTTTAAATATGATGTTGGCTTCTGGATTTGTCATATATACCCTTTATGAGGTTGAAGCAAGTTGCTTCCTTCTCTCCCTGGTTTCTTCAGGGTTTTTATCATGAATGAGTGTTGAATTTTTTTCAAAGGCTTTTCCTGCATCTATTGAGATGATTATGTAACTTTGATTCTTTTTATGTGTGTATTGTGTTTAGTGACTAGTAGTATATGTTGAATCATCCCTTGCATCCTTGGAATGAATTGAGGCTATTTACATTCAGTGTTATTTTCTTCTGTCATTTTGATTTATTTCCAATGTTTGCTTCAATCCTGATTCTCATTTGCTTATCTACTCCTATAATGATATTAATCTTTCCTGAGATTAATTCCTTTTCTGAACTCTCTTGGTTGTTTTTATCTTCTTCTGTGAATAGAATTCCTTTAAGCATATTCTGCAATCCTGGATTAGTAGTCATGAATTCCTTTAGTTCATGGAAGATTTTTATTTCTTGTTCATTTCTGAAGGATAGCTTCGCTACATATAGAAATCTTGGTATTTATTTTATTTCAGGGCTTAAAATATACCGTTACAAGCCCTCCTGGAATTTAGGTTTTTGATGAAAAATTTCATATTATTCTAATTGGTTTTTCCTTTAAATATGATCTGGCATTTATATCTCTCTTGTAAGTTAAAAAGTTTCCTTTGTTCTGGATTTTTTACATTTTAATTATAATGTGTTGTGGAGAGATTCTTTTCTGGTCTTGTCTATTTGGGCTTCTGAATGCCTCCAGCATCTGAATGTCCATTTCATTCCCAAGGTTTGGAAGTTTTTCTGTTATTATGTCATGGAGTAGGTTATCAATAGCATTAGCCAGAGTCTCTGATCCTTCCACAATACCGATGAGCCTTAAATTCCTTAATGCTGTCCCAGAGTTCTGGGATATTCTGATCAGAGTTTTCAATATTTCTCTTTAGTGTTGTCTGAATGCTCAAGTCTATCTTGCATTCAAGTTTGAGATTGTATCTTCTACTTGGTCTAATCTGTTGGACAAACCATAAACCAACATATATTTACAATACTTATTACCGGGTTGCCCTTTAACTCTACTAAATGAGAGAAGTGGGTAAGAAATAATATAAAATAGGCTGAAAAGTTAAGCCTTATTGATGGATATTAATATTAAATTGTATTGGAAGAAGAGGGAAATAAAAAAGGAAGAAAACGGAGGGAAGGGAGACAGTAGACAAAAGGGGGAAAGAAAAATGGATGAGAAAGAAGGCACGGGGATTAGAAAAAAGAAGAGAGGTACAGAGAAAAAAATCCAGTTAATTGAAAATAAAACCATAAAATTATGAAAAAAAAACCAAATAGTGAGGGAAGACACAACAGAATAGTGCACAAAATAGCACATGAGGCAACGATCAAAAAGATTCAGTTTTCCCTTTGCTGAGGTATTTAAAATGGAGACTCTTTTTTTTTCCCCAGGGCTTTGATTTTGGAGTCCCCCAGCTATGAGGAGGTTTGTGGGACACAATTATAATACTGTTTGTGTAATCTTTTTTTCAACTATGACCCAAACTGGCCAAACGTGTTAGTGTAGTCTGTTTGCTGAGCTGTGCCTCCTCTTGCCTGCCAGCGAGTGTTGGGGAGAGACGCGTGTTTCAGAGAAGTCAGCCTCAGTATCACTGTTTTGATATCTAGACATGGGGGTGTGGCTCTGGTAGGCCAGCCCTGTAACCTGGGTAGCCTATATTTCTGATTTGGACTGCACGATACCCCTTGTTTGGAGAGCCTCTGTCCATGTGCTAGGGAGAGGTATGTGGGAAGTGCCCAGGTCTCATCAGCAGATCCACCAGTTGCTTCCCAGTGTGGGGGACAGGACCAGGCCCAGGGTGGGATGCGCAGATAGCAGCTTTCTACCCAACTCAGACCTAGCTCACTTAAACCCCTGTTGGCCTTGCTCCTTTCCACAGAGTTCATATTGCCAATTTCATAGGAAGGTGCCTTTCACTTTGCTGTGTGGGAGATTAAAAATCTCTCACACAGAATTCTCCCACACAGAAAGCTTGAACAATAAGATTTTTTCAGCTGGCACTGATTCCTTATTTTCACTGCATCCGCTGGGAAGTGCCAGGACACACTCCCACACTTCAAAGTATCTGGGCCTGTTTTTCTGCTCTCCTTGTGGTTTCTCTGGACAGCAGAGCCTACTTTTCTTAAACTTGCTGGGAAACTTTCTTTCACTGGTTGCTGGGGAGCCACCCCTCCCGCTCTGAGCCACTCACTGCCCACCTGATGCTGCAGCAGTCCATTTCTTTGATTAATTCTCTTCCTATCCAAAAACCCCATATTTCTGGGTCTCACCTGGCTGCTGGCTCTCTGAGCCACATTCCGAGGCTTTCCCCCATCATGCAGCTACATGCCATTTTGATTGAATCTTGGGGAGCAGTTACTATATGGTGGGTTCCTCTAGCCTGTCATTTCCCCGCAACCTAAGAGCAAGTTTAGTTTTGTGAAAAAGTGTTGAAGTGTCTTCCAAAGCGGCTGTGCCGTTTTTCATTCCCACCAGCCATGAACCAGAGGTCCTGCTGCTCCACAACCTCACCAGCATTGGGTGTCGTCATTGATTTGGATTAAGCCATTCTAACAGGTGTGCATCCGACTCTTTTCTACTCATTCTTTTCTTTTCATTTGGAATAACTTTCAAACCTCATCTCAAAGATTACCTCCTTTGTGAAGATTTCCTTGATGCAGCCCCCCTTGCACAAGCCCCTACAGGTCTTAAAGTGAAGTGATTTCTTCTTTTCCAGATCCTATTTAAGACCCTCCCATATTCATTGCAGTTCACAGACCCTAGGCATTAATTTCCACTGCATTGGCACTCCAAAGCCTTTTGACAATTTCTGCACATTCCTGAGGTATTACTTTTTCATGATCCCCTTGCTCTATATAGGTCCCAGGCTGTGATCTTCCCATGACATCAAACCAGACAAAAGACTTAGCTTGTTCACTGTTTTTTGCAGGAAAGTTGACCCATCCCAAGGATTAATGGGGAGGGGAACATATAGCAAAATTCCTGACCTCCTGACTAGATCAATCCTCTCTTTATTTTTCTCCTTATTACATTTCTAGATTAAAAATATTCTTCCCTACCTCGTACATTGTTTCACATCCTTCTCTTGGGCTTTTGGGGCTGCCAACATTCTCTTGGCTTTTGGGGCTGCATGTCCTGTAGGGATACACCCTATTGGATGTTGTCCTATCAGGGAAGATTCACTGAAAAGTATCTATTCACCCAAGAGGGATTCTTCTATGAGTTGCTATGAGAACACAATTTACCTCCTTATATTTTGTATAGCTATTTTCATACTTATTTTTTTTCTGGATAATAAGGACCTCAGGGATAAGCATTCACTCTTCATCTTTTGCCATCATCCCTGCTTTAGAAGGGGCGATTACTATATTTTTATTGTTAATATGTGATATGTTATATATTATATGGCTTCATTCTCAAAAAGAAACAACTGAATTTTTTCAAGTAGATGTTCTTGAATTAAAAGCAGTGAAACCACTAGATGTAAAAGTAGAAACACAGACCATGGTTTCTTTGCCCAGTATATAACCTTTATTAAGAAACATCAGAAGACACAGTGCCACAGATATAATTGAAATAGCCAACAGGCAAGATCATTATGATCCAAAAAACAAGGGAGAGGTCTCATGCTGAACTGTAGAAAGGTTCAGCTGACTTCTTAGAAGCTGGATGTTGGGTGAAGACCTTCCTTTCTCTCTGATGACATCTTAGGAATGTCTCTTGGCTATACTCTGGTGCCTTGGCATTGTAAAATAATCGCAGGCAAACAAGATAAATATAGATCATAAAGCAAGGTGGGAAAATAAGCATTGTAGACAGTTTTCAAGGAAAAACTCCAGAATATGGTGGTAGTTTTCAGTCTTGCAAGAGGATCAGAAATATCATCATGCAATTTGATGAACTGAAGATGGGTTCACAGCATTTTTCTGTCCACAGTGAAGATTAATGTATTCATTATAGAATAGAATCAGAATGGTGATTCTCAGACCCTTGATAGCCCACACAAGAGAAAATGAAATAGAGGTCCAAGAACATCTTAGTGGTTCAGGGATGGTCAAGAGGATGAATAGTTCAGAGATGCTGCATCCTGGGCAATCAAAAATCAGCAGGCTGGCTCTTAACAGGTGGGCTCACAGCAGGAGGGTGGTGGGCAGCTGTAGCAGCAGCAGGCTGGGCGGCAGCAGGACTGTCCACAGTAGGATGGGCGGCAGCAGGAGGCCTGGGCATGGTGCAGCTGGCAGCAGGTGGGGGGTGTGCAGCTCGCCACGCAGCAGGGTGGCAGGAAGGTGCCCTCCACGCGGCAGTCTGGGCGGCACCACCTGATGCGGTAGCTCATGGCTCCAYCCTGGCCACCTCCAATTCCACTCCCAGAGCCACAGCCGGAGCCACAGCAGCTATCCTGGCTGCAGCTGGTCTGGCAGCAGCTGGGTTGGCAGCAGCTGGTCTGGCAGCAGCTGGGCTGGGAGCAGCTATCCTGGCAGCCGCTGGGCTGGCAGCAGCCTGTCTGGCAGCAGTTGGGGCGGCAGCAGCTGGCGCCACAGTTCCCACTGGTGGAGCAGCTGGGGAATCCGCAGAAGCTGGTGGAGCAGCAGGCCATGGTGTCGGGGGTTGGCTGGAGGATTGTGTTGCAAAAGGATGTTTCTGAGTTATGGCTTCTTATTCCACCTCGGGCTTTTTATAAGCCTTAGCCAGTTCCTCCGTTTGTGACGGCATTTTTATCTTATTAGTCTTTAAACCAGTTTTTTTAAGGGCCCTCTGATTATTCAAATGCTGAGTTACTTTAAACATATCTCCAAATAGGTTTTTCCTGATTGCTCAGCTAATGCTCACTAAATGTGTTCGTCCTTGGTGGCAATGTTGATGTTTCATTTTCAAACAATGCCGTAATTCCCACTCAAGTCTCATGCTTGTGGTTGTGGCATCTGACAAGGTGACTCTTTACCTATACGATGTTGTGATTTTGAAATCATATTCACCAGAACTAAAATTTCCAGAAAAGAACTATTAATCAAGGAATGCCTTCATGTAAGGCCACTTAGATGAAGGCTATATTTATATTTTTAGATTGGTAAGATTATAGTCTCTACAATAAGCTAGGCAGAAACTCTGATAAACTCCACATTCATAGAAATTCATAGATCGCTCTAGATATTGCATCCTTTCAATTTCTGGGATCTCTCCTAAACTTCAGACAGTCATACTTGAGAAAACATCTATAACTCAAGAGGGTGGATGGAACAAAGCTATTCCGTTCCACTTTAATAAGAAATAGGATAAAATTCATATTCAATAACTGTGAAAAATCATAATATTTGTAGAGAAGTTTATTCAACTCCACAAAAGGTGAACATCATTGCTATATGGATTGTTTAGATGCATTTATTTCTCAAAGGCAGGATTTACTTTCAGTTTAGGTCACTTTATGTTACTACATATGTGTTTTATAAAATGATATTGGACCAAAGAGCATGACAGTTGGACTTATGAAAAGGAAACAAAGAAAGAAAAAATTTTTTTCTTTTCTTTTTTTCTAGATCACAACAGAAGACAGTTTAGGAAATGAATGATCAATTGTACTTAAATAGTTTATAAATTTAAAAACTTTAGAATAAATTTCAGCTGCTTTATAGTTTCTTATGGTAGACTTTATTATTTGGTAACTGTTAAAAAAACAAAAAGGCAAATTTTAGCAAAAGTTTAAGCAACTCCTGGTAGTTGCCAAAAAAAAAAAAAAGAACATGGCTTTTCACTGTTTAGGGTTACATGAAAAAAAGTGTTGACCAAGAAAACATGTTGCTACCTGTGATACGTTTATTCTTTCCTTCCAATAATAAGTAGAAGCACACAGTTTTTATGAGATATCAGTTTGTATATTAAATAGAATTACAGTGGAATATAATTCATGCCAGTTCATATTATGGTAACCATGTCAGTAGGTATGATTACATGTAATCATTGAATAGTGGAGGTTAAAGATAAATAAATCATCATTTCCAACCTCTTAATATTGTAGGTGTAGAAACTGACATCTGTTTTGTTTTGGGGAAGACCAGGGATTGAACTCAGGGGCACTTGACCACTGAGTCACATCCCCAGCCCCAGCCCTATTTTGTATTTTATTTAGAGACAGGGTCTCACTGAGCTGCTTAGTGCCTCGCCATTGCTAAGGCTTTGAACTCATGATCTTCCTTCCTCAGCCTCCTGAGCCGCTGGGATTATAGGCATGTATCACCATGCCCAGCCTGACATCATTCTTAATATAAATAGCATGTTTGTTTAATTTTACTGTTCACAGAGCACTAAGGATTTGCAAAGAAAACAAGATCTTATTTGTCTGTCTCATATCTTGCTCTAGTGCACAAATCAGTGTGGTATCAATAGGAAGCATTAATCAAGAAAATGTGTTAACCATATGGCATCAGAGTTCTAAATTGGAACACTGCTCTTGTGGTATGGACCACTTCTACTTTATTTTTTAGTTTATGCTAGAATACTATTGAGTCTGGGAATAAATACACTTTGGAAAAGTTGAATGACTTTCTGCATTGCTACAGTCTGTAGCCAGAAGAATTGGGTATAAAATTCCTACCCGCTCTTTCTTAGACCACTTCTTTTTTCTTTATACCACGCTGATTTCCAGTATTAATTAGCATTAGTAAAACTTCATGTCTCCTGCTTTTATTTTGAATATTTTAGAATAGCTCAAGAAGAGAAATATGGGATGATGGGAAGAATATATTGTGGAGCAGTGACTTTAAATTCATAGTAAATAAATGCAAATATGTTAAAATTCTTTTGTTTGCAGACCAGAAGAGTTTCCCTCAGAAATGCAACATATCACATTTGGTTCCCTAATCATTCCATGTTTCCTGTATCCAACTTAGTGAATATGCTTTCTGGGCTTCCAATCTGTCATATTCATCATGTGTTCTTAATCCACAGCCATCATCTTAATTCAGCTCCCATGTCACTTGCACCAGGGCAATAGCCTCCTGATTAGTTGCTGTATTTTTTTTTTTTTTTTAATCTGTGGACTTGACCTCTGTCATTTTAAGGAGCTTCCATAGACTTCATACCATCATGTCAATTCCTGCCCCAAAGCTTTCAACAGCCCCTTAGTGTTTGCTTACCCACTCCTTTGACTAATATGTAAATCATACACATTTTTCAAATTTTTCTTATACTATCACTCTGCATATATCCAGTGCTCCTAACCTGACTTTCCTCTGCACGACTCTATGGTACCTCCCTCTGTAATTTTGCCCATAGTTTTGGTGCCCTTCCTGGATGCCAGAACCTTAACTCATAGAAAACTCTAGCTTCTTTCAATCTTTCTTATTCTCTCCAATCAACAGTGAGTTATCTGGTGACACTGTGTAGTATATTTTACTTTTATTTTTTCATACGATACTCTTTTGTCAAATTATGGTGGATTTCACTCATCCCCATAGAAATGTTTTAAAGAGAGGGGAACATTTTTAGGTCAGTTTTAATGTCTCTGGTATACCATGCAGATGGTAGGCAACCAGCACAGTTTTCACTGAGTTGAAATTTAATGTAACATTTAGCATTAGTAAATAAAGCCAAAGCAGCATTTGTGAGGCCAAAGAAGTCAAGTTTATTAGAAAATAAGCATCCCCCAAGACCTTAGATCCAAGATGGAAATAAGGACATTACTTCTATTCAGAGACTTGAGACCATCCCAAGTCTTAAGAGATGAGCTCAGGTCTCCTTTCGCAGGCAGGTTGGTTTAGGGTCTTGGTGGCTCAGGTCAGGAGTTTGTTAGGTAGAGAAATGGAAATTCAAGTTTCAGAAGGTTGATTGCTTGCTCGGGAGTCAGCTCACTTCTTAGCAGCAGGGGTTGCAGCAGGAGGTCCTGCAGATGGTGCGGCAGGGCGCAGGCTGGCAGCAGCGGGGGCGGCAGCAGGGCGCCTGCACACTGATGATCTGGCAGTTGGTGGAGGCCCAGCAGCAGGGTCTGCAGACCACGGCCGTGCAGGACGTTGGGCAGCAGGTGATGGGGCGGCAGCAGCCTTCCTGCAGGCCACAGGGGTCGCAGCAGATGGGGCGGCCTGTGGGCTCACAGATGGGGCGCGTGTAGCGGGGCACACAGGTCACAGGGCGGCACACGGTGGTCTGGCAGGACACGGGGCGGCAGCAGCAGGGGTCGCGGCTGCAGCAGGGCTGGCAGCAGCCTCCACAGCTCTGGGAGGAGAAGGAGCCACAGCAGGAGCCGGTCATGGTGGAGTGTGGGCTGGAGTAGTGTTGAGGACTTGAGAGGAGTTGGAGGTTCTCAGGTGTGATGTCTTCTTCCTTCTCTGGGCCCTTTATATACCCTGGCCAGGTGCTGATGACCCTCTTGTTTGTCTTTTGACCAATTAAGTGGACATTTTTTTGAGTAATGGTTCCTTGTGACATACTCATGATCTCATTGAAGAATTCTTGTTGCATCTCTAAATATGAATGTATTCACACGGTTTATCATGAAAACCTAACATTCATAGCCATTTGGGATGTGGCCACTCCCTTTTAATTGATAGATGATTGTGTATCTTTCTGGGGAGCATAGTATGATGCTTTGGTACATTTTTACATTGTGTATTGATCAATCCAGAAGACAGGCTATTCATATCTCAGACATTCACCATTTCTTTGTGATGAGAAATTCAAAATCCTCTCTTCCAACTATTTTTAATCACATAATGCAATACTGTTAACTATATCTATCTTCAGTCGAATGGAGTACCAGAACTTAATTTTCTTCTCAGGCTGTGAGTTTATACATTTTAACCAACATCTTTCCTTATCTCCCTCTCTTGATTGTTGCTTATTGTGAGGAGATAGGACCCAATGAAACCTGGATAAAATGGTCCCAAGGAACCTCATTTTATTAAAATAAATGGAATAGAGGAATACACAGAACATTGACTAGATACCTGTTCTCCAGCAGGTTATCTGAAAACACTTGCCTGTGAATCAGACAGGTGTTAGACACATGCTTCCATGCAATTCCTTGGGGATATATTTGTTTATCATTTTATATAGAAGAATATGTATAGGATGGGAGCTCCTATAAAGAAAAGCAAATGTTTATTTATTGAAATAAGAGATCTGAGACTTATGTATTTCTTTTTTTCTTTTCTTCAGTGTAGGCTATGTGTAGTTCTGGTTTTTCTGTCACAGGTATTGATTTTTATCTCCACAACATGACATTGTTTATTGATTTTTATCTCCACCATATGACATTTTTTTTTATATTTGCCTTTTACAACATAAGAGTTATATCATGGGAAGGTTTTGCTTCCTACACCTTGACATGGGTGTTATGACTACCAAGTGACATTTTGGAGGTTTTCTCATCCTACTTTGCAAACATATTATACAATACACTATTGAGGGGAGGCAGGTGGGATATTGCCACCCAGTCATCCCGCTGTGGCCCTGCTCGAAATGTGATGGCCATACTTCTTTAGGAAACATCAGCAGGGGCAGTGTAAGGACTGCATGACAGGGCAATCTCTACTTTCCAGCTTGAACCTTCCTATTATTTGCTAGTAGCATTTGGATCACTTTAGGAGCATTTCCACCATTCAAAAGAATGTAGCTTGGGCCCCAGGATCTAAAGTTTCCCAAATGGAATTTCAGATTTTTTAAAGGAATGTAAATTGACTGAACACATTCCACAGTTGAGGAGACAGGGGAGGGAGAAATTAGGCAGTCTCATTGCTAATGACCTTTGACGCTCACGCTTCACATTCTTGCCTTCATTCATGAACTTTTTTTTTTTTTAAATAGTAACCTAGATAAAAAGTTAGATATTCTATTCTTTTCAGGACACAATACCTCATAATCAATTTTCATGTTGCTCTGGAGTTTTTATGAATACCAACCCCCCCACCCCATGGGAGCCTCTTCAGACAACACATAAAGTTATCAGGGCTAATTTCTCTATTGCAAATACTTCTCATCTAATGTCGTTCCAAAGAGATTTTTCTTTCTCATGTATGAAGATCCACAAAGATCAAGAATCTGAGAGTCACTCAGTAAACTGTCCCAGTGTTTACTCCCTTAACACATTTTTCCCACCGCAGACCAAAATTCATTTTCAGGCAGAGAACATGTGGCTCATGTTCCCAGTGTCCACACTGTAGGGTTGAGGGAGGTGGGCATTGTGCTTTGACACTGGAGGCAAGTCAGCTGTTACTTTCTGAGGCCACTACAACCAGGCAACACTCATTTAAACCGTGCCACATGCTGGCATATAATAATAACCCAAGTACATGTCAGGATTGTCATGAGGACAGTGTCTTATATTTATCAAATTAAAAAAGTAATTTAAAAGGTCACATCCTTTTTGTGCCTGATAAACTCTAAATTTTGCATTTAGAACAAAACCCAACGTGCTTAATATGGCACAAAAAATTCAAAATGACCAGTTGTCTTCTCAGTCACTATAGAAATACACATTCAATAAGATTATTCAGTGACAAGTTTCATGACTAGCACAAAGTAAAACTAAAATACCTGGAAGGCAGATATAGAGTTCTCTGTCAATCTCTGCTAAGTGGAATCAGGTTGTTATTTTGATAACAGGAAACACAGATATCAGAACCATGGATAGAATAATGAACTCTAGATAGGGCAGAGACATGGGAGGGGAAGAGAGGGGGCAGGGGGTTAGCAAGGATGGTGGAATGTGATGGACATCATTATCCAAAGTACATGTATGAAGACACACATTGGTGTCAACATACTTTATATACAACTAGAGATATGAAAAATTGTGCTGCATATATGTAATAAGAATTGTAATACATTCTGCCATCATTTAGTTTTTAAAAAATCAATTAAAAAATATATAAGTTTTACTGAAAACTCCACAGCCCAGCAATGCAGGGTGGCATCTTAGGGACAAAAATCTTTTTTTTTTTTTTAAAGCAAAACAAATTTAGACAGGTTGCTGGTGGTGGTAGAAGATATTTTTGTCATAACAAATCATAGGGCTTTGTTAATTAACTATAATATTATGAATACATTTTAATGTGTGAAATGTTATCTTGTGTTTTAGATTTGAAGAAATTTTTGTCATAACAAATCCTAGGGCTTTTTAAAATCATTATATCCAACAATAACATTAAAATAAATTTTAATTTGAAAAATATCATCTAGTTTTCTGGATTCTTGGTTGCCTGTACAAATGGATAAAAACAATTGTATATTTAAGGTGAATAGTTAACAACTTTTATTTTTTTATTTCTATTTTTTTATTATTAGTTTTTTTATTATTAGTTGTTAGCAACTTTTAAACAATACTTATTTGGGGGCACAACAGTAGAGCATTGTGATTTCTATAGTGGAGATGATCATAAAATGATAAAAGATAAACTCAAGATTTAATAATTTGGTCACATTTTGAAGACATCAGAGAAGTCCACTACAAATAACATAGTGATATACCTTTCTGTTAAACAAAGAAAATTTGTTAGTAATACAAACAATAGCTGTCTAATTTATCTCCTTTAAGTCCATTTAGATTTTGATAGGTAAGTTTTTCAAAGTAAAACATAGTCAAGGGAAATGTTTAAATATTTTTCCCAAAATAGTTATAACTGTTAGGTAATATATTCCATTAAAAATAAAATATATGTGCATTTAAAAATTATATAATTAAGAAAAATCTAAAAAAGAAAATGAATGCTCTCATAAACTATGGTTAGATTTTGTTATATAATGCCACAATTTTTTTTTTGTAAGTACTGAGGATTAAACCTCAGCTGCTCTACTACTGAACTAAATTACCAGCCCTTTTTATTTTTTGAAACAGTGTCTCAATAAGTTGCCCTGGCTGGCTTCAAACTTATGATTCTCCTGTCTCAGCCTCCTGAATATCTGGGACTATAGGCATGTGCCACCACACCTGGCTGTTATAGGTAATTTTTCCTGCGTACACACATATAGACATGCAACAAAAATTTCCTTCACAATGTGGTTTTATACTTTATAGTTTGTTTATTTTTTCACTTAAATATATATGTGAGAAGCAATTGCATGATATTTCCTAATATGTTTATAATCTTCAACTGTTTTTTTACTATTTTTTATTTATAAAAATATTTTTATTTATATTATAACTATTTTTATTTAATTGCTTATATTATACATTATTTGTCGTTTTTCTTATTTATATCTCATCTCTCCAAATAGACTATAACATCTTTGAAGCTGGGACACCATTTTATTCCTTTGTGTCCTCTCAGGGTGGTGAACTGAATGCCACATTCATAATAGATATTCAATAAACATGTGTAGATTGTCATCCTTGATTCATTTTCTTGGAAAATACCACTAATGTGGAATTTCTGAACATAAAGGCAAATAGCCCCAGACAGCAAGTGCAGATATAGTATTCACAAGAGTCGGTGTTGTCAATAACATTCTCAAATCTCAAACACAAAAAAGGAGATTCTTTATCCAGGATAGCATTTACACTTGGGCACAAAGAAAAAAGAATGTCAAGATTCCTTCCTTCTCAAGCTACCAGGCCTTTGTGGTGTACCAACAGGGATCAGTTCAGTAAACAAACCCTCAGGCCAGAAATTAAGCGTCAACCCAGATTTGGCCTCCTAATGTCCTCCAATGGAGGACAATTCTCAGTTGGCTGATCCTGGAATACTGACTTCCAACTTCCTCATCAGCTACAATGCTCTGTACTTGCCATGTACCATAATTATGAAAACAACAACAACATAAAAAAAAAAAAAAAAAAAAAAAAAACTACTTAGATTGTTTCAGAAAACAAATTAAGAAAATTATTCTGCATCGTGCCCTTGAAAATCTCTGGATGATGACAATCTAGCAGAAGGAAGTATTACAAAGACCATGATTCTATGCTGAAAGTATTCAGTTTATTAGAAACAGACAACGTGATATAGGAGTTAGGTGAGGGTCCAAAGAGGACAGAGGAGTCTTCATCAGTAATTGATCTGAGAAGTGTCTTCCGGACATAGCCAGAGCTAGTAAGAAAAGAGGAGGGATGGGCTTCTCAGAAAAATGCAGAGTGGTCTCTCACGATGCCCCAAAGGGCCATAGGATAGACCCACTCATCTCCCGAGGCTCCCTTAGTTATAATAGGCTCTCAGCAGCAGGGGTTGCAGCAGGAGGTCCTGCAGGTGGTGCGGCAG